ACAGATGATACCACTCTAATGGCAGAAAGTGAAGAGGAACTAAAGAGCCTCTTGATGCAGGTGAAGGAGGAGAGTGCAAAAGTTGGCTTGAAACTCAACATTAAGAAAACTAAGATCATGGCATCTGGTCCTCTCACTTCCTGGCAAATAGATGGGGAAGAAATGGAGGTAGTGACAGATTTTATTTTTCTGGGCTCCAAGATTACTGCAGACGGGGACTGCAGCCAAGAAATTAAAAGACGCTTGCTCCTGGGAAGGAAAGCTATGGCAGATCTAGACAGCATATTAAAAAGCAGAGACATCACCCTGCCAACAAAAGTGCCTATAGTCAAGGCTGTGGTTTTCCCAGTTGCAACGTATGGCTGTGAAAGCTGGACCATAAGGAAGGCTCAGCACTGAAGGATTGAGGCCTTTGAATTGTGCTGGAGGAGACTCCTGCGAATCCCTTGGACTGCAAGGCAATCAAACCAGTCAGTCCTGGAGGAGATCAACCCTGACTGCTCTTCAGAAGGCCAGATACTGAAGATGAAACTCAAATACTTCGGCCAACTAATGAGAAGGAAGGACTCCCTGGAGAAGAGCCAACAATAGATGGCAAAAGAAGAAGGGGACGGCAGAGAATGAGGTGGCTGGATGGAGTCACTGAAGCAGTCGCGTGAGCTTAAGTGAACGAGGGATCACAATAGGTTCACAATTGTTCACAATGGGGTTCACAATGGGGTCACAATAGGTTCACAATGTTCACAATAGGTTCACAATGGGGTCACAATAGGTTGGACACGACTTCACAACTAACAACAACAAAAAGGCATTCCAGGGTTATTTCAAAATGTCAAGGGACTGACTTGTTAGTAGTACAATGTTACTGGTTAGCAATAACCCAGAACAAAGCCAAATTATATTTGGATTTCAGTAACAACATTAACCCTTAGGTAATGCTGGTAATCGACCTTTTGAGGATCCAATACAAAGATGCAGTCAAGAAAATTTGTAAGAAAGAATAGTTGAAATATCAGTTTAAAAGGTTGTTGTTGGGGTTTTTTTTGAAATCTGAAGAGCCTTAACAGATACTTGGTTTGTAGCCAGTCACCAAGTCAAGCCTCTTATAAATGACTGCAATGTTCTTGCTTAAAAACTCAAAGGAGAGCCATAAGATGTGCAAATGAAGCCAGAAGATGGCAAAATTAACTGTTAGGAAGACTGAAAAGCCAGACTTCTAGTGCAAACAGAAGGGTCCTCCTGGGCCATCTAGTCTGACCTCCAGCACCAGCCAGCTCCACTCACGACATGCCCACCATGCATCCAGAGCTCCCCTAATCTGTACATCATCTATCAGCTCCTCCCTATTGGTCAAGACCAAGTCAAGGATGTCCCCCCCCCCCCTCGTCGCCTCTTGGACCCTCTGTGTGGAAAACCCTCGCTCTATAGCTTCTAGGCAGTGACGTGACCTGACTGTCACCGCCGAGTGAGTCTCCCAACTAAATATCCGGGAGATTGAAATCTCCCTTAATTACTGTGTCCCTCCCCTGAGATATCCTTCGAATCCGGCCTGTCGGGACATCATCCAGGGTCTCAAGTTGACCTGGAGGGCGATAACATACCCCCACTGTCAGATTTCTTTCCCTGTCAAAACCCCTAAGTTTAACCCAGACTGCCTCTACCGAATCCCCATCTGTGCTGCATTCTGTCTCACTGCATCCTATCCCTTCCCTGACGTATAAAGCTATGCCCCCACCTCTCTTTCCCTTCCTGTCCTTTCTAAAAAGGTGATACCCCTCTATGTTCACAGAGCAGTATGACTTGCCTTTCATCCCACCAAGTTTCTGTAATTCCCACCAGATCAGACCCTCCTCTTCCCAGGAGAGCTTCAAGCTCTTCCTGATTGTTACCCTTGCTCCTAGCATTGGTGTACATGCACCTCAACTCCTTCCCACCGCTTCCTTTCCTTGGAGTTCCCAACCTCGTCCTTCCTCCCATCCTCCCTGATACCTGGCCCCTCTCTGTAGGAGTCCTGTCAGTCCCTGCAGTACCTCTAAAACCCTGCTCCCAGAGCCCTGATCCTCCCCCCACACTTGACCAGTGCAGACACGTTACTGGGGGGCCTGAACCCCCCCCCCCGGCTCTGTTTAAAGTCTTCCGGACGAAGCTCGCTAGAGCATCTCCAAAGGACCTTTTCCCCATCCTCGTGAGGTGTAACCCGTCCCTTGCCAGAAGTCCATTGGCAAGAAACCGAGTGCCGTGGTCAAGGAACCCGAAGCGTTCCTTCTGGCACCACACCCTAAGCATTATCATGACATTGCAATTAAATCCCTCCTTTTTCCTCTTGTGAGGGACCCAGCGCAGTCCACAGAGCTCCTTTTTATCCTCACAGCTACAACCCTGTGAGGTAGGCTGGACTGCGAGTGACAGGCCCAGAGGCACCCAAGGAGTTTCATGGCCGAGTGGGAACTAAAACCTGGACTCCCTGAGCCAAGGTCTGGCCCTCTCGCCCCTCAATGGCTCTCTGTGCCAGCGCAACTTTTCTTGGGCCAAAACGTACAGCGCCTCGCACTGACTGCATTGAACCACGCTGGCCGTCCGGTCCGTGGGGCAGCCCCTGGTGAGGACAGCCCTCCTTTTGGCCCACGAATGCCCCGCCTCACATGGCGCCGCCGGCATTCGGCTGTTCTCTGCCGGAGGATGGATCCCTCTGCTGGCCTCACTTGCAGATTGGAGCCTCCCACGTGGTGCTCATGAGCACTTCCGTGCCCACGGGCGCCTCTCTCGGTGCTCTCCAGGCCCCCTTCCCCTCCTGATTTCCACTGATTTCATTGGCATTTTTAATAAGTTTTTAAAAACTGTAGGAGCCCGGCTTGCTTGCTGCAAATTGAACTGCTGGCCTCTGGCGCCACCTTTCTTTGGATCCAGAAGGATGATGTTACAGTTTTGCAGCTCACACCCTGCTTCTGTCTTGTTGGACAGGTTCTTTGCCAGTCTGACGTTTATTTATCAGATTTATATCCCGCCTTTCCCCCCACCCTTTTCTACAGAGCTCAAAGAGGCTTGCATCGTTCTCCGCTTTTGCGAAGTGGATGTTTTGTGGCCAGCCACAGCAGCTCTTCTATGGTTGGGGAAGTCTTTAGGACAATGCACTGTGCGTGTTCAGGCAGAGAAAGGCCCACAGCCACCACACAGCTGGGGCATCAGTGTGCAATCCATGCATGTTTAGGACCACACCTTCGCATTCCAAATGTGCTCACCATCCAAAAAGATTAAATCCTCTGTTATGGTCAGTGCTTTTTTTGTAAAAAAAAAAGGTGCCGGAACTCACCTCTTGGGGTCACACTTTTACACTAAAAAGGATTTTCAATTCACCAACTTTTTTTGAAATAAATAGGGGAAAGGGCAGGGAGGAGGGAAGGGAAAGCCCGGTTGCAACACCGAAGAAATATAAAGAGACCTTCAGCCTGACCCTCTAGAGAAGCGGCAAGGAAAAGCCAACCCCCCAGCAGCCATGGCCCTGCTCCAATGTGGGTCTTCGTTTCAAATGCCTCCTCCTACACCGCACTCGTTTTCATGCACTGGATCTTGCAAACGTGCCCTCCGCGTCCTTCCTCCTTCACAGTTGTGGGCGCAGCATGGTAAACTTCATAGGGGCAGCATTTGGTTTTGGTCCCAGCAGAGGCAG